CGTGTTCTCCCTTGAAAAACACAATCAAGGGAGAAAAAWCACAGTTTCTAACTCCCATTTCTCRGTCAGCTGATGCACCAACTGCTGCCACTCCTCAAGCAACCCCCAACCCGAGTGCCCCACATCCATCTCCAACACAGGACTTGGAAATTAGTGCTGGGAAAAGTCGTGAGAAATCTTAATTAGTACTCCAAACCCAGCAATTCTGAAATCCCGGCAGCACAATGTGACGCAGTGCAGGGAGGAGACAACACACAGGCTGTGAAATGATTCACTGCAACACCAAAGTGCAGAAGGTGCTGGGATTTCCCACCAGTAAATGGGAATAATTAAAGTGTGCTCAGGCATCGTGGCCATAGGCATTGTAACAACCACAACTGAACACTGCAGGTACTGTCTGACCCTTGGAAAGGTTCTGTGGGAAGCCAGCGATGTGAGAAGTTGGTCACTAGGAACTTCAGTTCCCTCTCAGCAGCTTGATGCAACTGCCAACCAAACAGTGACTTTCCAGATAAGAAACCTGAGCTAAAAGATAAGTCCCAGTTAAATATTTGGTTTCATTACCTTTTCAGAAAATGTTTCCATGGTACAGGCTGAAGTTGAGGATTGGAGAGACTAAATCACCTACCACTCACCAGTTCATACTACTTAGCATAGGTCACTAACCAGCCAAAAAAATTGACAAATTCTGATTAACCTTGTCTACAGACAAATCCAACACAAAGAAACCACAGCCAGAGAAAAGCAATTATTATAAAGATGCACAAGCCATATGATATATTTCCTATTTGTATTTATTAGCACAGGAACACAGAAACAACAGGACTTTGGTGACTTTCTAAACCATCGCTCAGCCACACAAACCAAAATCCAGTCAGCAGCCCTGGGAGGAATTCTGTGCCCTTCTCTGAACCACGTTCCACAAGCTGTTCCTGATCCCAACATGCTGACAGCAACACACAACCAGGGAATGATTTGGGATGAGAGGGACCTTAAAGACCATCCAGTGCCACCCCTTGCCATGGGTGGAGACACTTTCCTCAAGACTAGGCTGCCCCAAGCCCTGTCCATCCTTGGACACTTCCAGGGATCCAGGGAAGGATCTGCAGCTGCTCTGTGCCAGTCCCTCCCTACCCACAAAGGGCARCTGGGCCCTTTCACAGCCACACAGGTTTTGCAGGCCTCCAGTCACACCCAGCCAAGGAGTTGGGATTCTCCACAGGGGAGGCTCCAAGCTGCCTTCCTCACCTCCCAGCAAAGGCAAAGCTGCTCTCTCCTGATCCTCATTCTGCACCACTCATGACTTTGCAGGATCTCAGCTGTGATGCAGAGCTATTGTTAACCTGGGTGCAGATGCAATCCAACGTGGTGGTCCTCAGTGCACACCAAGACAAGGACTCTGCACAACCCAACCCTGCCTGCACACACCAACACAAGGACTCTGCACAACCCAACCCTGCCTGCACACACCAACACAAG